GAGAGAGAGAGAGAGAGAGAGAGAGAGAGAGAGAGAGAGAGAGAGAGAGAGAGCAAGAGAGGGGGGGAAAGGGGAACTGGGGTAGCAGAAGGAGAAGGAGAGGTGGGAGAAGCGAGAAAAACGGGAAACAGAGCCAGGGATCGGGGGGGGGGGAAGGCCAGAGGAACGCAGACAGGAGGTGGCCTGTTTCATGCGGGTGAAAAAATAGCGGGAAAAGCAGGAGAAACAGGAAAAGGCTGAAAATAAAAAAAAACGAAAGGCGGGAAAGGAACAGGAAAGCGGAAAAGCAGAAAGGGGAAGTGGAAAAGAGGGCGGCAGCGACACACAGCGCACATGTGATAACGCGGGGGGGGAGAGGGGGGGAGGGAGAAGAGCGCAGAAGATCCATGGTAGAACATACAGATCAGTTGTGAGGCAGATGGCGGGCTTCAGAAGGCGAGGAAACAGCTATGACGCCAGCAGAAATCGCATCCATACGATCTGGGATAGTCTATTGTTGGAGTGTCAGGTGAATAAGTCGAAGCTCTCGAGTGTCGGTGCGTTGATGGCAAAACCGACTGAGAAGATCTCCATTGTCGTGGGGTGCTGTGGTATCAAGCAGATGCAGAACGTCATGGCACTTTTCCCTTTGTGTCCTGAAACGTGGTTCAGTGAGTCCCTCAGATAGGATCTGAACCCGTCCTCTCCAACAGTCCAGGTTCTTGGCGGAAAAATCCTTAGCGGCCTTGAGAAAAGTCCTCCAAGGGCATTTCACCTAAGTCCCTTCGTCGTCCAGTGTTCAGTGGTACCCCTGTCACTATACCTATTTTGTATTCTACCCCTTCCGCAACACAGAAACACAGCGCGAGAGCAGAGTTAGCATACTGACACAGACTAAGAATCAGCAAGCATGGCCGACTGCCGAAGGTCACTGTCATACGTCCGGAATCTGACCTCTTCAGCAACCTGGGGCCATGTCCCACTTACGCCGTTGAGTTGAGCGGGACTGCTCAACGGTGTGACACAGTTAGTGCAAAATAGAAATTCAGAACGAGCGCAAAAAAAGAGAATCAAATGCTGCGGAAAGCTTTTTTCCATTTTTTTTCTGAAATGTAGAATGGAGAAAGAAACCGGGGCAGTCTGGTTTTGTCCATATTTTTAGAAAATAAAAAGGAGAAAACGAATCTCCTCGAGTGAAACTCTCCAAAGCATACGGAACTCTCCATGCACTGCGTGAAGTAGGAGACAGGAGCGTCACTACAGCGTGGAACGAACGTGGACGGCCTTCTTGGCTATGTGCATTGACGACCCAAATAAAAGAAAACAGTACCTCCCACGTCTGTCGACGTTTCCTCCCACCTCTGTGAGATTGTCCTCCCACGTCTGTCAGAGTGCACTCCCTTGTCTGTCAGAGTGTCCTCCCACGAGGAGGTAATGATGGCTCAACATCTGTTCGAGCTAGCTACCCCACTCCAAGTGCGGTAGCTAGCAGCTGAACTGGAAAAGGGCTAGGGTGGGGGGCGTTCTATTCAGTGGAATCTTCTCTTTTTCCCTTTTTTCTGAAGACTTAAGTGAAGAAAAACGAACTTATATTTCCATCTACAAAAAGAACCACTGGATGGAAGTCAGGGAGATGCATCTGAGAAGTCGCGCCATGCCACACCTGATAGGAAACTCAACGTTGAACTAGTTCAACGGTGCAAGTGGGACATGGCCCCTGCGTTATTTGATTATTAAAAAAAAAAAGAAAAAGAAAAAAAAAGAATCAGGCTCAATCAGCAAGCATCAGATAGACTCTTGGACACCCATGCAAGCCAGCAAACAGGCTGAGCAAAATGCAGAAATCTCAGCCTGCAATTGTGCGGGTTATTGCACCGGTGGGATCAGTGGCAGAAGCATCTAAGTCTTCCATGGCAGGAGCTTGAGGGGGCATAATGGCAGAATTTCCGCTCACCCTACCCTACCCGACTAAATGTGGGGCTCTTCAGCAGCAGATCAGTGACAAATGTTTGCTAAAGAGGGGGACTGCATTTTATTGGTAGGTTCTACTTGGGTGGGAGTAGCGAAGCCATATAGGGTTTATCAAGGCAACAGCCTTGGCGTGGTTCCCAGCACATGCAGCTCCCCACGAATAGACTGGAGCATTTGTGTCCCGCAACGCCCGCCGTGGAAATGACGGGCCGCCCATAATTCAGAGACATTTGAATGCATTTGTCTAGTTCTGCCAGGGTTCAAACTCGGGTCTAGACTCAGTTTGTGTATTAATTTGCCAGGGTTGAGGGAAGGGGAGAAAGTGGAAAGGGATGCCACACTGTTGAGTACCAGGCGGTTGTGCATAGGGCTAGGTACCAGTGGGGCTATTCTTAATAATAACAATAATAATAATAATAATAATAATAATAATATAACATGTTCTTTTTTTTTATAGTCTCCCGCACGACCTCGGAACAGCGCGGCATCCTCTCCCCGATCTGCTCCTATTGTGGGAACTCCTCCCCACCAGCGAGAGCTACGCTCAAACATTGCCTGCTGGCCTGCCCAATGGTTTTCA